TATGATTAACACCCTCCACAATAAAAATGATTAATCAACCTTTCATAATTACAAAAAAATGAACAAAATGAAAAATTATGATTGGTTGAATACGGTTTGCACGGTTTGTACAAATTGAGTGGTTTGCATTTGATCGCTCCCCTATATATATATATATATATATATATATATATAGGGGCACGTTCAAATGAAAACCGTGCATTTCTAAAAAAATCGTGTAAACCAATTTCGACCAATAGGAAAATTCCATTTTTTTCTAATTATAATTAATCAATAAGGGTATTTCAGTCATTTACAATATTTTCTATTAAATATGGAAGTTATTAATAAATCTTAATTAAGGAAACGTAATAAAGAAAATTGTATAAATGGTAACATTTAAATATTTAATTATATTATAATATTAAAAACTTGAATTTCATATATTGTAATCTTTAAGAATCAGCAAACGGGTCTTGATGACACAATTGAAGTGTATAATGAAATCATCAAATCATAGATAAACAAAAAAAATCCACAAATGAAACAGGTTTCATGAACRTGAAACTGGTTCATGTTGCAAATAAATTATGTGAACCGAAACATTTTCATGGTGAACCTGTTGCATTGATTGTGTAGTTGATTCATTTAGTTGGTGAAGAGGAAAATGAAATCGGTGCATTTTGTTGGTGAACTCGTTGCATTGATTGTGTAGTTTATCCATTTAGTTGGTGAAGAGGAAAATGAAATTGGTGCATTTTGTATTTGGTGCGTCATGAACTAAGTGCATGATGAAACGRGGAAATGATTTTAATCTGCTACAGAATCTTGAAGATTGTAACCTGCTCCAGAATCTTGAAGATTGTAAGGCTTAAAGAAATGAATCCATCAAATCAGTGGTGAAATAAGAAAATTATTATACATGAAATAAGAAAATTATTGTACATGAAATAGGTTTCATGAAAGTGAAACTGGTTCATGGCGTTATTGAGCATGACTAGTGAAACGGTTGCATAATGTATTTGGTTCGTCATGAAATAATTGCATGATGAAACGGGTATATGAAGAAACTGCTCCAGAATCTTGAAGATTGTAATATGCTTTAGAATCTTTAAGATTGCAAGGCTTAAAGAAATTAATGCATCAAATCATGAGCGAAAGGAAGAAAATAATTTTGTATGAAAAAAGATTCATGAAAAAAGATTCATGAAAGTAAACTAATTTTGGAAGAAAATAATTTTGCATGAAAAAAGATTCATGAAAGATCGA